AGCCCGATCGACTGGACGATAACCTTCCGTCCATTCTACACATATCGATCACAGATTGCTCACCACCTGAGCCCGATCGACAGGACAATAACCTTCTGTCCATTCCAAAACATCGATCACTGATTGCTCACCAGCTGAGCCTGATCAACCGAACGACGACCTTTTCGTCCACCAAAGATGACTTCAAATATTGATGCCTCTGTACAGCTCACAAAAAAGAGCGACTGGCAGCCCTAGTTTAGTCGCATCAAGACACAAGCAACTAGAGAATATGTCTGGGAGTATATCAATCTAGACCTCTCACCAGAAAATCTCCTAGTTAACACTATGCTACAGAGGCCTGAGGTCGCGAAGTTTCATACAGGCAGCACCCAGCTCAGTCCCAACCCTATAGTCTCTGACCTAAACCTTAACAATTAGCGATGCTACACAATAGCCCGCAAAGACTACTGCAATAATCTAAGGTTATTTTAAACTTAACACAAAGCCCTATTAGACATCTATGTGCTTATTAAGAGCACTATTAACACATTAAACTACTCTATTATTAGGGACAAAGAAACAATCTACAAAAGGCTAAAGGCCTTAAAGGCAATCCTAGAGCCCTCTAACAAGCAGCTCAAGCAGAGCGCACAAACAGCATACAACCGCGCAAGGAAGTGGTCATTAAAAATAAAACAAGACTAATAGATTACAGCGTACAGGAACGCATATATTAATGCTAAATTAGTCCACCTGCTAAACGTGACAGAATATTAACTACACTATAACTTTGTGTTGGCAATTTTGGACGTAAACCCTGGATGCGCAGCAGCCATCTAATTAATCCTAGTCTAGCATAAACAGACTAATAAGGATCTACCTAATTTCCTTACTAGCTGTCTAAAGTTCTTTAAAAATTAGTAATAATCACAGCTAGCTTAGCAACCTAGCGTCACCCACAGCAGTTTCGCCACATACTAAGGACGCTTGTCCACACTAGAACAGCAACAACAGCAGTTTATATGCGACTTCTGTGGAGGCCGCCACAAATTAAAGAACTGCAGGATTAATAATCCTTAACTAAGACCTAAAGGGTTCTAAATCCCTACTTTCCTCTAGCAGGAATATAATAAGCAGATAAGCAGCAATCCTTAGCTTAAAGTAAAAGCTAAGCTGCTTAAGAACAGAGACCTTCCTCCACCGCTAAGAGACTAACTAAACTAAGGAAGAGGACATAAAAGGGGCAGCAATAATAGTAACTATTATTAGCTAACTTAATTATCTAGTCACGCAACTTAATTGTACAATTAAAGCCTACAGTTTTAACCTAGTCTAAATCTAACTGCAATCTCTAAGACGCTAGCTCCTAATAATTCCACTAACTAGAATCCACCTAATGCTCTAACTAGCACTAGGCAATTAGCAGCTACTCTTATAAGCTTTACAACAAACCTTATAAGTAAGGAACATGCTGCAGAGCTAGATAACAAAGAGAATCCTCTCTAGCACTTATAGATCCTAGATCCTGGAGCAGACATCTATGTTTGCAACAATCTAGCTAACTTTTAATGGACTCAGAGCTCATCCCCATTAGACTAACTTAGGGCCGGCAGCCAACACCTTCCTATACTAGCATAGGGCACAGTCACACTTACTGTAAAGGGTCCTAGAGGACCTACTAAGATAAACCTAAATAATGTAGCCTACATCCCTAGCATGTTTACTAGTCTTGTATCTCTTTCTTAAGGACAGGACATATATTTTAACTCTAGAGACAACCTTGTATACAAACAACTCTATAATAGCACTTAATTACTAATCTGCTTTACTACTTAAACTAGGGGTCACTAGGCCCTAGTATCGCGCACAGAGGATCTATGCATTAGATCTATTTTGCTAATAGTTATAGCTGCTAAAGACCTTGCACAGCAACCTATTACGCAAGACAATACCTTAAATAATAAGGATTACATTAATTTTACAAAAGAGCTTCTAGAGCTTAAGGAGCGCAATAAGAGACCTAGCAATTAGCCGCACAAAAAGCGCCAGCAAGGCTCCCTCTATTATATGCCCTCTCCTAAAATAACTCTAGAAACTATTCTAGAGGTTAACTCTAAAAGGGAAACTAACATTAACTTAGTCTCCTAACATAACCTTAATAACACGCTAGATAATAGCTCTAACAACAAGCTACTATTAGTTATTAAGGTCTGTCTGTGAACAGGCGACGCAGCTATAGACTTTAAGACTAATAATAATAATCTTAAGTAAGCTATAACTACTTAGCACACAGCTCTAATTAATTATAAGCCTTAGAAAAGAAGGATTCGCATACAGTAGATCCCTACCGCAGACATGCTGCCTAACAGCCTTACTAAGTTCCTACCTTAATAAAAGCATTAAGCCTTTATTAAACAACTAGGCCTTATCCGCCTAAGTAACGCCCTAAAGGCTTACTCTACTAACATTAGCTTTAAAGCCTAAGCCTAAGCTAACTTCTTTTGCTGTTTCACGCTTTTAAGTGCACTACTGTACACCTGCAGTCTATTATTTCTCTTTGTACAGCTTTGCTTTAGTATTTACTTTGTCAAAGCTGGGGGGGTGTGTCGCACGTGTCTCACGCGATATCATACCCATGTACTGCACTATTCACTCATTAGGCATAGCTCCTGTCTCGTACAGTATATAGTCAGCTTAGAGCTCTATCGAGCTCCTCAGACCTTACAATACACTCATTCCACCTTGTTTGGATCTCGCTCCCTTGTCGAGTCGTTTGCCATATGTCCCCTCCTCAGCTCATGCAAGACAATCAACCGAGGGCGAACATCGTGAAGTCACTCACAATTGTGAGATGACTTGTAGTGGCCTCTTTCTGAAAGCTGCGCCTCTGCTCGATTGCCTCGAGATTTGCGGATGGCGGCAAACCTGGCCTGATCGGGTCGACCGAATACCTTTGACGACGCTCTATAGGAATGGTGTGATGCCAGAACAATGTCCGAGAACGCTTAGTCGACTTCTTCTTGCTGACATGGATCTATCTGGTGCAGAGGACAAACTTACAGGGTCTATCGATTTACCGCCCTCCGTTCCCTGAAACTTGAATATTGTGACGAGGTTACCTCTTTTCTATATACAGTTGCGGCATATATTACCAAGATGGGGACTCAACTCAAGGTTCTCACAGTTCGTACCAGGAAAGACGAGATAGCGGGCGATGAAGGCGACACTGAAGATGCGGTAAAGGACTTGTTGTGCTCGTTTTCAGGCCTGCAGGAACTCGAAATCGACTTCTTATCTATTCTTTGCCTTGACTTGGAAACTTGTTTTAGCGCGCACGGGACACTGAAGAAGTTGCACGTCTCATGTAATCGATGGGTCAATGGGGCCTCTCATTGGAACTCGAAGATAGTACGTATCTTGGAATTGTGCCCAAATGTGCAATACTTTGCATATAGCATCCGGATAAGTTATCCCGGATACGCCATGGACTGCCAAATTCTATTCCCATTGTCCCCTAGACTCTATGAGGTACTCGACACAATTTCAGCAGCTCCAAGTATCCGTGCGCTCCGCATATTGAGTGGGCTTGGTTTTTGGGAAGATGAAGCCAACAGAGAAGACCGGAATTGGATCGAAAAAGTTGGTCAGATAGCGCATCACTTTGCTACAGTAATTCTGACGCGCCTTCACTCAAAAGGGTCAATTATCAGGCTGCTTGCTCTGTCTCCTAATTTGCGATGGAAACAGAGTCGTGGCGATAGTAATCTACAATATTACCCGCATTACTTTTTTAGGCTTAAGATTGTCGACGTTGATGGCAGAAATGTTATTGAGGCGGCTCCTCTCCGGGACTATGTAGCAGAATGCCCTGATGCTGCCATCTTTGTGTAGTTTTGAACAGTACGGAGGAAAATACAAGGTACCTATCAACTTTCGCAGAGTCTATATGCGTTGGACACAGATGTAGAAACAAGGTTGTTGTGTTTAAAGTGATTACGCCTTTGTCCTTTATGTGAACTAATTCGTTGATAAGAATGTGTATCTGTGCGGAAGGTGTTTCACAGGATATCACTCTTTCACTGCTTGTTAAGTCATGAGGACTAGCTTCTACTTATTAGGGTTAGCGCCTAGCTCTAGCTTATTAACATTAGCTTATAACTCTATAACGTAATAGGACTAGCTTCTATCTTACTTATATATATAGTTTATCTCAGGTGCTTAGCAGACTGTATAGAGAAGCCTAGAGCCTCTAAGAACTCTATAACTAGAAAAGAACCTCCTACTAGCTTCTTAACTAATAAGACTAGCTAATTAGAAGCTTAAAAGCGCTTTCTCTATCTAGATGTCTAAGAGAGTTTTATAATTTTTTAAATAATATGTGATTACAAACCTTCTCTACTATACACTAGCTTAACTAAGAATTATTATAGCTGTACTACTTGTTACGTTACTTACCACGTGAGCTTGTCACGTGATACTAGACTAGTAGATAAAAGAGAAGAAGGGGGAAGCGAAATTGTAGGAAGTTGTAGCAGAAGCAGGTGTATAGTCTGTTCAGCTTACGCAGGTGTATGCAGAGAGTTAGTCACGTGTTTCGCCTTGTCTAATAGTTGTAACGATTCTCGTTCCATCTCGGGTCGCCCGGAACCTATCCGAAGGGTCCCCGTATCGGCTCCGGCCCTGACTCGATTCTCATGAATCGTCAGGTCGCCCGGAACCTCCGGAAGGCCCCCGTATCGGCCCCGACCTCGACCTGGCCCCGACTATGCCCTGCCCCCTGCTGTACCCCTATTCCCTCATGTATTTAGTCGCACCTCGCCCCCGTAGCTAGCTCGGTAGTTTTCTGATATCCTACGTACAAGGCCTATAGGTGTCATTGGTATTCCCAGGTCTCTGAGTCCCCACGCACTCCCATATGCCTCTGAGTGGATTCATACCGCATTCGGACCCATTGTCTTGCCTGCGCCGTTACAATAGTATAAAGAGGATTCGTAAGGGTAACGCTCTATATAAAAGAGTAATATAATATTATTATATAATGCTATTATAAGCTACAATACTATCTATTTAAATATTAACACTAACCTTTAAGAAAAGTTAGAGCGTAAGTATATATATAAGTTCTAGATTACATAGATTACATACTTAAAAAAATATTACTATAATCTTAATAATCTCTTTGTGTTAGCTGCAATTGTTTATTATTATATAACCTAGTTACATAACCCTTGTTAGAATCTATGCTTATTATCTTCTAGGCGCTAGAGTCTAGTCTATGTTTTTGTTTATAAGCTTTAATAAAATTATAACATTTACTTTTTTCTTCTTAGCTGCGTTCTTACAGCTTACTTAACTAGTTTTTACTATACTTTTTATTATTATTATAACTAACACTTTTCTTTTTACGTGTACTTTTTTTACCCTCTTTTTTTTATAATAATAGGTAGGTCTCTAATCTGTGTCTGTTACTAGCGTGCATCTCTTTGCCTTAATTTTATTAGTAAGACTAAAATGCATCTCTATAGTTGTTACTTATTATTAAAGTTGTTATATGTGTTAACCTTATTATTAGATAAATATGTTGTATTTAAAAAAGTAGTAAATATAACACTTAACGTACTTGTGACGGCGCGTACTGCGTCACATGCTCTGCGGCATCAGCTCCCTCGCTTGCGCAACGAGTAGCACGCTAGTGCTACAAGTAGTGCCTTGGCAGGGGGCACACATGTATATTTAAACTCGCAGAGCAGCTCCTCTGCTCCTTAGTTTAATCTAGTTGAGTTACACCACCTCTTGCTTGTAGCTTGAGCATGCCGACCGTGACATTAGATTAAACTCCTTAAGTGACATAAAAGCTTGAGTATATATGCACATGCACACGCCCAAGTTTTTTCACGCACACGCACACGCACACGACTCCGGGTCGACAGACGCCGACATACCCCGTCAAGTCGACGGTGGAGACAGTGCGCGACCCCTCTTCTGATCTTGGAGGGTAAGATCAGTTAGAGTATGCTCATACCCTCACCACTTTTTACCCTCCAAGATCAGAAGAGGGGTCGCGCACTGTCTCCACCGTCGACTTGACGGGGTATGTCGGCGTCTATCGACCCGGAGTCGTGTGCGTGTGCGTGTGCGTGAAAAAACTTGGGCGTGTGCATGTGCATATATACTCAAGCTTTCATGTCACTTAAGGAGTTTAATCTAATGTCACAGTCGGCATGCTCAAGCTACAAGCAAGAGGTGGTGTAACCTAACTAGATTAAACTAAGAAGCAGAGGAGCTGCTCTGCGAGTTTAAATATACATGTGTGCCCCCTGCCAAGGCGCTACTTGTTGCGCAAGCGAGGGAGCTGATGCCGCAGAGCATGTGACGCAGTACGCGCCGTCACAGTACTTCACAGGCGAGTTGCTTACACACCTAAGTTGCTTACTTTTGCTAAGACCCTACCCTAACAAACTCTATTATAGCCTATAATAACCCGCTCTAGCACTATATAGTACAGTACAGCCTAGAATATTATTTAAATACTACTTTTACTTCTTACTTACACATTTGTGTGTTATGTTTAGTCTAATTATACTATCTATAGCGCCTTTAGGATAGCTTACCTACTTTAGCTTATACTTACTTTTTTACCTTTTTTTTATTACTATGCGCTTTAAACTTCTTTAAAGCTATTAAGTATAAGCTTTTTTAAATTATTAAGGTTTTTTTTACTTTAATTTACTTTTTTTATATAATTTATGTTATATAGCAGCTTTATTAGCTACTTAAAGCTTATTATTTTTTTATTATACTAATACTAGCTTATGCATAATTATTACTACTTTTTTTAAAACTTTTTTAAACACCTTAACTATAAAAGTTAGTAAACTATTTATATACTTTTAAATTTTTATTTTTATAAGTATTAATTATAACTTAAGTTTTAAAGTATTACTAAGAGTTTATAACTACTAAGGCTTATTATATATAAGTAGTAGTAATAATAAAGTGCGTAACTTTATATTAAGGCTTATTATAACTTATTATAGGTTAAAAGAAACTAATTTAGTATTTTAAAACTTTTTTTAAATAGTACTAAATATAATTATAGTATTATAAGCTACTTTAAAGTATAGTAGAAACTTTATTTTTATAATATAAGTAATTTAGTTATATATAAGGTTTTTAGCTTAGCGCTTATACACTTTTTTAAAAAAGTAAAATAACTTATATTAAGTAGCTATAAAAAGTGTAATAAGTAAAAAAGTATATAAATAGTAATAATTTTATTATTTTTATAGTATTACTAAAAATAAAGTAAGTTATATCTTTTATAGCTGTTAATAACTAGTAAATAGTAGCTACTAATAGTACAATAGGTGCCAAGAAGTCATCATCCTCTCGCTTAACTTACTATATCAGGTCAACCCACACACCTCAAAATTTTCCGCACCACTCGTTCTCCTCCTTCTCCACACTACCACCATGCCTTCCCAACCCAAAACTGCTCGCTGTGAATACAATAAGCCTACCCTTGCTAGCATCTAGGCGCTCTCTTATATTAGTTTTAGCCTCTTAAAGATATAGAAGACTTTTCCTATTCTAATTTTATTAATTAAGTTAATACTTAAGCAGTTGCAAAAATGCAAAAATAAGCCCTAGAAAAAGGCCTGTTGCATAAAGAGACCCCTAAAGCTTAATAAGCGCGCAGAGCAACAATTAGTACAACACTTAAAGCAGTTTCCCTTTAAAACATATAAAGTACTTACTACTTCTAGAAAAACAACAACTGCAATCTGCGTTAATATAGTAAAGTGATACCTGCAAAAAAACAAGTACTACGCATTTAAACTGCGCGCTAAGCCCTACCTTAAGCCCTCCTACAAGCTTAATTATTGTTGCTAAAGTGCCTGCATAAAAACCTAGGATAACAACAACTTTAAATGTGTCTACTTCTCTAATAAATTAACTTTTAAAGTAGGACTTATCTCTACTACCTAATACTGCAAGCAGAAGAAGGGGGTATTGTGTGTGTATAAATCTTAATACCTAAAGCCTACTTTTAAGAGCAGGAGAAGCTCTGTTAGAGTATAGGCAGCTATATCCTAGAATTTTAAGTTAGAGCTAGTTATACTGCCTTAAGGCAAGCAGATAGACTTAAGAAGATACTATAATAAGGTCTTAGCTACTTACACGCAGCTATTTTATGCTAAAGTCTTTAAAAAACACAGTATTGTGTTGTAGCAGAAGAATAGGGCTTTATACCATAGGTTAAAGATAACCGCAGGTTTCTAAGAAAAGCTTTGCATAGATTATATAGTGTAGCTAGCACAAAGTCCTAATTTAAATCCTATTAAGAACCTCTAGCGCATTATAAAGATTTAGATTTTAAAAAGAAGACACTAAATAAGCAATATTAAAAAGATAGAGTCTATCCTAAAGGAGGAGTAGAATAGGTTAAAGCTAGAAGATTAGCAGAAGTGTATATCATCTATGCCCTAGCGCGTCGCTGACGTCAGGGCTGCCTAGGGAGGCTCCACCCGCTGGTAAACAATTGCTACTCTAAAAGATTCTCTGTTATTAATTCTATTATATAAATTAAAAGCTTTAATTTTTAATTGCAATCTATCCCCAAAATCCTCATATAAAACTGCGTGGGCAGATCGTATTCGCTTGCGCACGGTGCGGAGGATGATCACTTCCTGGCACCTACTGTACACTTTTTTATATACTTAATAAAGTGCTTTAACTAGTCTAAACTAAGCTAATTAGTAGTCTAGCTACACTTAAAAATTATAATAACTTAATTTTAAAGTAAATTTTTATTATACTAGTTTAAAAAGTAATTACTACTCTAAAAAATAATAAAAAGTAAAATAGCCTACTTTTTAGTATTAATGCTC